CTTGGCTTACTGCAACCTCTGCCCGCTGGGTTTAAGTGATTCTCCTGACTCAGCCTCCTGAGTAGCTGGAACTACAGGTGTGCACCACTGCACCCTGCTAATTTCTTTTTGAGATGGAGTCTCACTCTGTCACCCAGGCTGGAGTGCAGTGGCGTGATCTCCACTCACAGAAAGCTCCGCCTCCTGGGTTCAAGCAATTCTCCTGCCTAAGCCTCCTGAGTAGCTGGGATTACAGGTGCTCACCACCACACTTAATTTTTGTATTTTTAATAGAGACAGGGTTTCACCATGTTGGGCAAGCTGTTCTCGAACTCCTGACCTCAAATGATCTGCCTGCCTCAGCCTCCCCAGTTGCTGGGATTACAGGTATGAGCCATCGTGTCCCGCCTGTATTTTGCATTATATTTTTATTGGACGGTGCTGATCTCTCTCAGATATCTCTCCCTCCGGCTCTGACTCCCTGCAATGCAGCTTCTTCCGCAGAGTCCTACTCAGATGTCTAATACACATCTCAAATTCAGCATGACCAAACCACACTCGGGTTCTGCCCTCTCTGACCCATTTTCCTGTAGCCTTCGTCACACTGCTGCAAGGTCTGACACCATTCACTCACCTACTAAATGTCCCCACTTCATCCTAGCACAGCACATATAATCCATCGACTCTACTCCCGAAACATGCCCTTCTCATAACCACATGACCGCCACAGCCCTGGTCCAAGCCACCACAAGCTCTGACCTGGACCTGGTGATGGATGCCTGGCTGGTCTTGTTGCCCCACAGTCACCCCTTACAGTCTGTACTTCTGCTTATGATTTCCTGGGCTATTTGAATCTGGGGATCATCCTCTTTCATTCGTTCTGGAATAGTTTCAACCATTATCTCTCTTCGAACACTGCCTCTGTCACAATTTCTCCCTACAACTCTAAACGGCATTCTGTTAGGTGTTCTCTGTCTTCCATGAGTCTCAGTCTCTTTCCTAAAATCCCCATTGCTTTGTTTCTTTGGGATGCATTTTGATGTCTTTCTTCAGTTCTACTGCCTGGTCACTAATTCTGGCTTTGGCTGTGTCTACTCTGCTAACTAAAGTGGACACTTAATTTTTATTTTTTTAAATATTTGTTTGTTTGTTTTTTTAGACAGGGTCTTGCTCTGTCGCCCAGGTTAGAGTGCAGTGATGGGATCACAGCTCACTGCAGCCTCATCCTCCCAGGCTCAAGCAATCCTCCTGCCTCAGCCTCCCGAATGGACTACTCAGGCACACGGCACCCCACCTGGCTCATATTTTAGGTTTTGTGGCAATAGGGTCTCACTACGTTGCTGATCTTGAACTTCTGGCCTCAAGTGATCGTCCCACCTCAGCCTCCCAAAGTGCCTGGATTATAGGTGTGAGCCACTACTGTACCTGGCAATTTTTGACTATTTCAATTATATTTTCAAATCTGCTTAAACTTTACTCATATTTTAAAATGCTTCTGTTATTTATTGAAACATATGAAATATACTTATTTTACATGCTGTATAATTCCAATTCCAAAGTTATTTTCTGCTTTTTTTTTTTTTTTTGAGACAGAGTCTTGCTCTGTCACCCAGGCTGCAGTGCAGTGGCACGATCTCGGCTCATTGCAACCTCCGCCTCCCAAGTTCAAGTGATTCTCCTGCCTCAGTCCCCCAAGTAGCTGGGATTACAGGCGTGCGCCACCACGCCTGGTTAATTTTTGTGTTTTTACTAGAGATGTGGTTTCGCCATGTTGGCCAGGCTAGCCTCGAACTGCTGACTTCAGGCGATCTGCCCACCTTGGCCTCCCAAAGTGCTGTGATTACAGGTGTGAGCCACCACACCCAGCCTTCTGTTTTATTTCTGCTGTCTGCTGATTCTCTCTCATGGTGTCTTGTGTGTGTTTAGAGATTTTTGGCTCTGAGCTACTCATGTCACTTGGAGCTTTATCTGTGGATATCACTGAAGCTTGTGGTGAAAATGGGTTTCCTCAGAAAAGTATCATGTTTGCTTCTGTGAAGCACTAGGAAACCTCCAGTTTCCATCACTTTAAACTAAAGGTTGACTTAGGGCTTTTTGGACTACCCAGATAGGGTAAAGTCAGGCTGAAAACCAGTCTGAGGGCTGTTCCATGCCAAAATTTCAGACAGGTAATTTTCCTTAGAGTCCCCAAGGCGGTTTATTTCTAGGTCACTCTCACTTTGAAGTATAGCCTTCGAGAACTTCTCGGACAAGCTTTGTCTTCTGTTCCCAGAGGCTGCAGGGCCCCAAAACCGATACTCGGGTTCACCCAGGTCAGCAAATGCCTTCTAAGCAAACGCTGGCTCCAGCACACAGCTCATCTGCTTGGGTGCTTGGTTCTTCTTTGCTTGTGGCCTGTGTGCTCCTCATTTTCTGGCTACCTCATGAATCCATTAAATAATATTGTCTTTCCTCTCTTATCCAATATTGACAGTTAGGTTTCAGGGAAAACATGAGTTGGGGACCTAGTTGACCATACTGCCAGAAATAGAAGTCCCACCTGTGTGCACACCAAGCTGGAGTACACTGGCGCCATCACAACTCACAGCCTCCACCTCCCGGGCTCAGGCGATCCTCCCACCTCAGCCTCCCGAGTAGCTGGGACTATAGGTGCATGCCACCATGCCCTGGCAATTTTTGGAATTTTTAGTAGAGATTGGGATTTTGTCATGTTGCCCAGGCTGGTCTTGAACTCCTAGACTCAAGCAATCTACCTGCCTCAGCTTCCCCAAATGCACGGATGACGTGAGCCATCACATCCGGCAAATTCTTTTTTTTTTTTTTTTTTTTTGAGACGGAGTCTCGCTCTGTCGCCCAGGCTGGAGTGCAGTGACCGGATC